TCTATAAACTCACTAGGGGGGACCAGAAGGGTTTGGGGGAGACCTTGTTTCCCCTAGCGCCCCCTGGGATAACAAGGAATAACGGCCACAAGTTGTTGGAGAGTAGGTTTAGATTAGACATCCGTAAGAACTACTTCACAGTTAGGGCGGCTAGGATCTGGAACCAACTTCCAAAGGAAGTGGTGCTGGCTCCTACCCTGGGGTCTTTAAGAAGTGGCTTGATGCCTACCTGATTGGGGTCATTTAAGCCCAGTTTTCCTCCTACCCAGGCAGGGGGTTGGACTTGAAGATCTACAAGCTCCCTTCCAACCCTACTTCTATGATTCTATGATAAGTGCTTAAAATTTTCACTTATCTTAAAAAAAAAAAAAGAACAGAAAATGCACCTGTGATTGCATCTACACTGCCTTCATCCAGCTGTATAGATTTTCCATACCACACAGAAGCATCTTTCCATTTCCCCTGAAGGATCAGTTGATATCCCAGCTCATTGGTAAAATCAACCTCTGGCATTATTAATTTCATAGCTGAATGTTCAATGAATCGATATATTTTCTGTAAGATACATTGATTCTTGCCACACTGAAACCAACAAAATTCACAATGGATAGATTACTAAGCAAAGCAGTATACAGAAAAGAAACATTAATTTCACATCTATATATAGATATGGGGCATATATATACAGAGGAGGACCCACAGAGTTGTGGTGGTGGCACGGTTGCACCCCACTTTGGTTGTGTGATGCATGTGCAGTGACCTCTCTGACCTCACCAGCATGTCAGTGCACCTCCTGCCAGAGCTCTGCACATGCCATGAGCTCATAACTGCTGATCTGTGCAGATGTCTAATGTTAGCCTAAGTTCTGCTGTGATCATATTTGGGGGTGAGAAGAAACCTATGTGCCTGGGAAGACCTGATCTGATAGCACAAAAGTCACAGATCCAGAAGAAGCAAACAAGAGGAAACATCTCTCTGTTGCTTATTGATTACAGCCCTCCCCTGGGAGAAGGGAACCCTGGGTTCCAGTCTCTGCTGCCAGGACTATTTATGCATTTGACATTAGATCAGGGATGGGCAATTATTTTGGCTGGAGGGCCAATTTTGGAATTTGGGTAAGCTGTTGCAGGCCGGGAGGGAGTGGGGCATGGAGAAGGGGAGTGCTGAGCTGGCGTGGCAGGATGGGGCAATTGATACTATCTGACAGGTGTGAAGCAGACAGGCTGGGGTGCCTCGGGGTGCCTGGCAGTGATGATGACACTATCAGCAGCAGCCAGGAGCCGATGCCAAAGCTGCCAGGAAGTGGACTCCGTCTGCTGTGCTACCCTTGCCCCACCACACACCTGGGGATAGTGGGACCAGCTGCACATACCACGGCCCACGCTGCCTCCCATGTCTGGGCCAGATGGGGCCAAAGGACATGCTGTGGGTCAGATAAAATCCCTTGGTGGGTCAGATCCGGCCTGCAGGCCATATTTTGTCCACCCCTGCATTAGATAGCTGTTTGTTAAAAAACAGAAAATAACCCTACCAGAAGGAACTGGAACTGAGGACTCTGCCAAATGCTTCTGAAAGTGTCATCAACACTAAGTTATAAAGTGATTGTCCCTCTTGTTTCCTGTGCTTTTGGCCACCTTAATTTTTACATTACTGGTTTCACAATGGCCCAGCATGAGCAGCTGTAAATATTCTGAATTCAAAGTTGAATGGCTGTGGTAGGTGCCTACATCAGAAAGAGGACTAGACAGAATGGATTCCAGGAGAATGCAGGTGACTGAGCTCCTGAGAGGGACAGGAATTTCAAACATACCCCTATGCTTAGCATTGCCCTCTGGCTACTTTAGGTGCCTCTGAGCTTCCTGGGCTATTTTCCAGCTTTCCTTGTTGACTGTAGATAATTTTAGGTTGCCTATGGTTGGTCAATTTTGATAATTCTCCTGGCTTAGTGCCCACATTTTAGTCACTGAGATATCTAAATGTAAGTTCCTCTGAAATCAAATTGGATCACACCCATAACTATCATCAGTTCTTACACAATATGCTTACCAATCTACTGATCACACAGATTTTCTGAAAGTGAAGGTCTGTGTTTTGAGGTTCATTAGTTTCCAAAGAATGAATCAGCTTTCCAAGCTGAGATGATGCCTGCGGAACAAATTTAATATACTGCTTATTTCAAAATGATACACACTAGTTCAAATACCGGTATTTCTTACACACCACTCAACTGAATACTATTTATTCATGGGGGTAAAATTCATGGCTGCCAAACGAAGTCCAAGTAAAATGCCTTTGTACAATGAACTAAGTTGGTTTGGGGATATGATACAGACTCTTATAATCTAATTAGTAAGAATACAGGCCAGCTGCACAATCTCTCAGTGGCTGCTACCCAACCACATGAACTTCATAGTCATGGATCCACTGGCCTTTTCTCATGAACCCTTTCTCTGTGATGGCCTGTACAGTGCTATGTAATTTTAAATGTGGAATCATGCTTGATATCTGCTGTGCAACAGAATTATAAATATTCCCTTACCCTTAGGACCTTTTATCACCATGGTACTGCTGGATGAATTCCACATTAGCTGCAAAAAATACTTATCAGCAAATCAGCATTGGTATTTGCAATGTATATTAATAAGATGTTGGCACTAGTTTAGGCTATTACTGACTTGTGTAGCTTCTAGACCAGGGGCGGGCCAGATCCAACCTGTCACATGCCTGGATCTGGCCTATGGGCAGGTGCCTGCCAATTGACTGTACCTGGCCTGCGACTGCCCCCGCAGCACTCTGCATGGGGCTGAGTCCCACTGGCTCTCACCTGGAGCAGCCTGTACCGTACTCCTGCTGGCAGCCTCAGACCTGGCCAGCATGCACAACTTCCTAGCAGAGATGCTCCCAGTGTGGCTGCAGCCACCCAAGTACTGCTCTGCTGCCTCTGCCTCCAGTGGCTCCTCCTCTTCCTCTTCCTGCCCCTGCTGCACTTCTCTGGGCAGCAGGTAGTGGTAGGAGGCAGTGACGGTGGCCATGGGACACATGAGAGGCACCACACGCCTAGCCAGGTGTGGGGTAGCTGCAGCCGAGTGGCTCCTGCTCCAGCACACAGGGTTCCAGCTACAAGCTACCTTCCACCCACTCAGCTGCCCGCAGGTGGCTGACCATCGCACTAGGTTGCTGAGTGGGTAGAAGGTGGCCGAGAACTGGAGCTGAAGCCCCTTGTGCTGGGGCAGGAGCTGCCCAGGTGCAGCTTCCCTCCACCTGGCTGGGCATGTGGTACCCAACACATGTCCCCATGGCCACTGCCCTTTCTTGTACTACCTGCTGCTTGAAGTGGCACAGCAGGGGCAGGAAGAGGAGGAGGAGCCACTGGAGACAGGGGGGAGCCCTGCAGTATCCGGGTGGCTGTGGCAGGGGCAGGATCGGGGTGGCTGTGGCAGCAGCCCTGCTGGGAAGTTGTGCGCACTGGCCAGAGCTGGGGCTAGGGCAGTGCTGTCTGGTTGATGTGGGGTGGGTGCAGGCAGGAGCATGGCACAGGCTACCCCAGGCAGGAGCAGGCAGGGCTCGGTCCCATGCAGAGCACCGTGGGGGCAGCCATGGACTAGAGGTAGGGGGGCAGACTGTATCTGCACCATACCACCTGGCCGAGAATTGATGCATGCACCCCCACCCTTCCCGCCTGCCCCCCACCCCATGCCAGCTCCAAGGACCTGGCGTGTAGGCAGCCCCCACACAGATGCCCCCCCCTCCACACACCCCCCACACATGCCCACTCCCCCACACACCCTCTCCACACACACACCACCTCCTAAAGCCCCCCTCATACAGTATACAAGACTAAGACTTTATTTTCAGCTATTAAGCAATCACCTCTATATACAGTACTCAGAAACACATAAATCATGACAAAATGATTTTTTAAATAAAATTAAAATATGTTACAATATATGTTTGATTTTTAGTATATGATTTATTTCTTATCTATAATTTGTTAAAATGGTATCTTCTGAAAGATTTATGTGTGCGGCCTCGACAGCTCACCAAAACTTGTTAAGGGGCCCTCCAGCCAAAATAACTGTCCACTGCTGCTCTAGACAAGGACATGTCATTTCACTACTCTTAGAATCATTGAAACTCATGGAAAGAACATCTAGGATATCATTTAATCAGGAGTGGCTAACCTGTGGCCCGACTGCCACAACTGGCATGGGCAGCCTCTGTGCATGTCACGTGGCAAATCGGGGAAGGGACAGGCAGCACAGTGGCAGATAGGGCAGGGAGCAGAAACCAAAGCAGCAAATTGGGCAGGGAGCAAAAGGGGAGCAAGCAGAAAGCAAGGGGGCAGATTACGCTGGGAGGGCAGGGAGCAGAAAGCAGAGCAGCTGATTAGGCATGGGAAGGGAACTGGAATCGCACTGGGGGAGGAATGTAGGGCTAAATTGTGGCATGTCTGCCAAACAGGTTGGGGCTACTGATTTAGATCATCCATGGCACTTCAGAAACCTGGAAATAGTGCTGAAGTTGGGGCTCATGCAGGTGAATTTCTCTCCCATACCAAATATACATGAAAGAAAAATAGTAACACTGGAGATCAACTGAAATATAACCTGATGGTAAAAGAGGAAGGTTTTGCATTCAAGTACTGGAATGTGTTCTGTGATTAGATTCTTCTTATACCACTCCTCTGGAAGAAGTGGAATGAGGTTTTTGGGTATCACAAAAGGTCATGGCCTCAATAGGAAATCTAAGATATTAGTTATTCTATGATAATACTTACCACATCATAATTTCCAGTCCTTGAAAGCTCATTTACAATAACAGTTTGAAGTCCATCTATATTGGTCTCATCTTTGCTCAGGATTCTTAAACAATAATTATATGTTAGTTGCATAAAACTTTACAAAGCAAAACAGATTAAAGTGCAGATAAATTTAATGTTTTAAGAATCTGCATCTTCTCTCACACTGTAGAGACTAGCTATTGACAGAAAGACAAGACGGACTTCCATTTGTTGAAAACAGAGGGTGTAACGGTAGGAAAGAAAGTGACTCTATAGGATCTGAGAATTTACACTACCTGACATAAAATGGAGCATGCACTGTTGACACAATACTCATGACATTTTGTTTAATGCTAGAAAAAATAAATAAATTGAAACACTTTGGAAGAAAACTGTTTAAAATATTTTAAGTTCAGAAACTTGCTCCAAAGCAATAAACATGGGAAAAACCATGAATATATCTACATAGTTTAACCTAGTAATAAGCATAAGAGGATTAAATAGATAAGTAGCAACATTTTGGTTTATATTTTTTATCAACCCCTACCTTCGTGCAGTCTCTAAAGTTTGCTCCCAGTCTTGCTGAGCTAAATATAGCCTCATCTTTAGGATTAATGCTGGCATGAAACTGGGGTAAGCAACTATTATTTGATTAACAACTTCCAGAGCAGCTGAATAATTCTGTTGCATCATGAAATATCTTATCTATGGAGAAAAAAAAGGAAAACTATCCTGCTGTTTCAAAAAGGTGGCATATTTTATCGGTGTTAATTACATATTATTAAATTGGTAGCAAATTATCATCTGCTCAATTAGTTGAACTGAAAAAGGATTCAGACCAAATGTTATTACAGCAGTAGGAGCCAACAGTGGGGTGGACTTAAGGTAGGCCCTCAGCCTTCTCCACATAGTCATTATAAGGCTCACCAGTAGCCACTATTGACAACTGAGTCCCTACAGTTGCCTCCCCTATCCACATGCATTGCCAGGATTAGCAAGGATGGAGCCGGTAGTCAGGGAGAGTTGGGCACTTTGTCTCCTTAGGTACCTTGGAAAACCACACTGGGTACTTAACTGAATATTTAGACACCTAAAAGACCTTTGAAAAATTGGTCTTTGTCACAGGGCAGTAAGGTGCCTGCTCCTTTAAGAGCAGAAACGGCCTAGGGAGAGGGCCCTAAGAGCCAGATAGAAACCCCGCAGGTGCAGGTTGCTATGGCAGCCAGCTAACGGGAGAATTAGCCAGCACCTGCAGCCGGTCAGCTCACAGGAAGAGGCAGGGCCCTGGGCGCACATAAACCCCTGGGCTGGAACTAGAGGTTGAGGTCTCTGTCAGCAGCCAAGGGGGAAGGAGCTCTCAGAGAGGAAGCTCACCAGAGAGGATTAACTGCGTGTTCTACCTCTGGTAGAATTAAGGGGCTCCAGGAGCTCACCAGATACCCTGGCCTACAAGGTACTTAGTGCTGGGGGAAGTTTGACTTTTTTAAAGGGACAGAGCACACCTTGAACTCCTTGTATTATGTTATAGCCCAGGGGCTCATATTTTAGTTGCTGTTTATAAACCGGTGGATTGGGCTGAGGCTACTGGGGGAGAAGGAGGCCTCATTCGGGGCCCACTACAGTGAGCGGACCCCAGCGCCAGGGGCATAGTGACAAAGGGGATGAGTGGACCCAGCGCCAGGGGCTGTGGAGAGAGAGAGACAGGGCTGCGGAGAGAGAGAGAGAGAGAGAGAGAGACAGGGCTGCAGAGAGAGACAGGGCTGTGGAGAGCCCCACGATGACTGGAGGCCCTGTTAAATTAAGGCCTCAGAGGGACAATGTCTGAATGTCATCTGCAAGGCTTGGGGTGAGGTAAAGGGGCAGTTTTGGAGCCATGCATCTAGCCCATAAGGCTTAGGGTGTCCTGTGAGGCATCCATGTTGAGCGGGACCCAGAAAGGGGCCAAGAATCCATGGGGGTCAGCAAGGTCCAGCAGGACTGTGTCCAGATAAAAAGATTGAGGGCAGCCTCCCTATATTACAATTACCAGCAAGACGTGGCAGGCAAGTAAAAGGGTTCCTGCTGGGCAAGACTGGCACAGTCAGGGAGCCCTGGGGGCATCACTGCCATCCATGGGGACCCCATCCCGTGACAGTCTTATATTCTCAGAAAACAATATGGGGTAAACACTGCAATGGGTGATCACAGGAAGAGGAAGGTGTCCTGTGTCCTCTCAGCCAAAGTCTGGTAAAAGTAGAAATACAAGAAAGAAAGTATAAAAGAGCTATAGAAAAATTTAAGAATCAACAGTCATACCTTTCCCATCATCCCAAATATATCAGTAGTGTCTTGTGTCCCTTCATCTAGGTATTTGATAGATTTCTTAAAAGCATTCTGTTTGTCAGAGGTGGAATACACCCATCCTTTAAGCACAAGGCCCTGTAAAAATTCAGATATGATGTGCCCAAAGTACAGTTTATCAGGCAACTGAATGACTTAATTTGTTTAAAATACATTCACTTTTTGTTTATGTTATAATGAATTAAATATTAAAAGGATGCTGATCACAAATTCTAAGTAGCTTGGAAATGATTTAAAGCAATGAAGCAAGCTGCAGAACCTTTTGCCATATAAGCAATATTTGATACAGTTTAATAGCAATGTCATCTTACTTAATATGTATGTCTCAATTGACTTGCATCAACAAAAAGGAGCATAGATTTTAGCCCACCATGTTATACTTATGAAATAGTTGTTCCACTTTCATGGCACTATAATGAAGCAGTTTATCTATTCCTTTCAAACCAGTAAGAGTATACTCACTATCGTTTTGCTTAAGTGTGTAGAGTGAAAATTGCTTACTCAGTTTTTACAGCATATATAATTAGACACAATAATAAATCAGTGAATATAGCCAGTTCCATTTTTTACTGCAGAAACTCAGCATAGTTATTTTTCTTTGCAAAAAACCCCCACATTTGCACTAGAGAGATTTTGTATAAAACAGGACATGGGAATCCAGCTTTAGATATAGTACATATTTATGTACTGCTGGTTAGTATTTTATTATATAACTGAAATGTGATGTTCACATTTTAATTTTAAATCTCAAGAACTTCTGCCATTGTTTTGTCTTATGAGTAAAAAATCTAATATATACTACCTCTCTAGATCCATTAGACATTTTCAGCATTCTGTCAATGTATTCAACTGCTTTATCATTTTTACCCATTAGCCACAGAAACATTCCTGCATAGTACAATGCATTAATCCCTATATTCTTCCGAGTTTCCTTTAATTTGTTCTCCAGCTCCAAAACAGCCTCACGATCTGAAAGCAAATATTCAAACCAATAATGTTTAAAGTACATCAAGAACTTCTGTATTGCCAAAAGTTGCCAAATGAACCAAAGGCTCAATCCTTCAAATATTTATACACATGGATAACTGTGCAGATGGGCAGGCCTACTGAATTCAAGGTTATTTCTGCATAGAAAAGTTTGCAAAAACAGGACATTTAAATGTTCAGGCTTTCCCTCTCGTAGGGGATTTAGATGCAATCCTGGGAAGTATTATGCACTCAGTATTTCTGATTAATCTAACAGGACTTGAAAGTTGTGTCTTCTAAGATTAAAAACTTTCTGCACGCAACTTCATTTATCTCCTGTTTGTCTCTTTCTGGTATTGTGAAATGCTCTTGTGTATAAGATACCAAATACCATATCACAGATACAGAGTTCCTGGAATCACCCAAACAATGAAAGAGCTTTCACAGTAAAGGTCTTGACTTATAAAATCCTATATGACCTAGGACCTACATACCTAACACACCGCCTTCTCCTTACATTCCATCATATTACCTAAAGTCAGCCAAAAGCAGCCTCCTGCAAGTACCAAAAATCCACAAGTTTGCTTGGCAAAACCATGAAATAGGTTGTTTCTGTTAGTTGCTCCTCAGCTCTGTAAATTGCTCCCCTCTGAGGGCCATCAGCATCAGATCTAGACATCTCTAAGAAGCACTGTAAGACTTTTATCTGAGTAGGTTTTTTGGATTGAGGGTACTCTTCAGGGGATTTGTCACTTATTATTCTATTTTCATGTTTTATCTGTTTTTTTACAACTCATCTTTTATTGTAATCCACCCTGAGTCTTTTCTCAGGAGGGAAGCATATAAATCTAATAAAGGAAGACATTTTATAATCTAAACATTTTCACCATGTCTCCTTTTCCTCTTGCTATTCAATAGTCTCCTAATAAATACACTTTGTTCCCTCTACATAATTTCTTTCTTTCCCAATTTCTCTCCTATATCCTCTGTCTCCTTCATTTCTTTCCTTTTTAATAATTATGTGATGATGCTAATGCCAAGCTATACTGCTTTTACTCATCTTGTTGTTCGAGGTTAACAGTAGGAGAATCAAATCTTGCTGGTGTGCACTAGAGACTTGGCCACTCATGGGAAATTACAGAAAACAACTGTGAGAACAACCAATTTAAAAACATCTAGGTTAATGCATGATAAATTATACTTTGCCAATTTTTTAAATAAATGTAGTTTAATTGTTTATAATACTATATCAAAAAATGTTCCACAATATATTTTATAATATAATGTTGCTGTAGAAATAGAATAGTTTATGGCATTCTGCTATGAAATCTCTGTTGATAATTCAGGTGAAATTGCTGAGTTTAGGATATTTGTCATTTTTGCAGATTAGTATGATAAGATCCCAGTAGTTCATCAAATACATACGTACATACAGGAATCATACAGCCTTCCTCTAAGGTCAGAGGGCAGTTTCTAGACAGATAGCCAATGTAGAGCGTACTGTACCAAAGTTGAAAGAATTTTAATTAGAAGAATACTTGCTTTGGTAAGTGCCATGCGGTGTAATGCCTAAAACAACAGTTATGATGGGTTTTAAGACTGCATCCAAAATGTCTGCTCGCTATAAACTGCAAGGAACTCACTTCATTTGCAAAGGTAAAGGTCACAGTCAAGTTGGTCAAGATTTAAAGTAAGGGGGTTTAAGGCGTTTCCTGGTTCTATAGAAGTCTTGTTAGATCAATCGCCAGTGCTTATACCACTAAACTATCCTGATCTCCAGGGATCTGGGCTTTTCATTTGCCATAGAAAAAAAAAGGGTGAAAAAAAGAGGGTTTCCCCCTTTACCCAAGGAAGAACACGGATTTCTCATTTTAGTGGAGAAACGTGGATTTTGCAATGCAAAGAACTCTCTGCAGGCTGGCAGAGTTCCAGCCTGCAAGGGCCTGGGGGGAGCAGGAGGAGGGCAGTCAGGCAGCAGCTCCTGCAGGTAAGTCTGGTGGGGGTGGAGAGGAGGGACTAAGACCCCCATAGGAAGGAAGGGGAGGGTTGCGCAGGGCTGACGCTGTGGGGTGGGGGACCTGCTGGGGGTGGGGGCCAGCTCCCCAATGCTGTGTGCACTCCTGGGAGCTAGGGGCAGAGGGACCCATGCCCCTCGGATCTGTGCATGGGGTGAGGGTGGGTGCAGGCTGCTCACTGCGGCCTTGGGCTCCCTGCTCTGCTGCCTTTCCCCTGGGGCCTCTGTACCCGGCGGGCAGGACCTGGTGCAGCAGGTCAGAGTGGGGATGGGTGGGGAAGCTCCTTCCTGCTGCAAGCGCCACACTGCCCTGGCAAAGTGTCACCTGTGCACCCTGCAACAGCACAGGTGGTGGCATAGGGTTGTGTCCATCTCTGCTGCAGGGTGGGCAGGGGGCGCATTACCAGGGTAGCGTGTGGCTTGCAGCAGCAAGGAGCTTCCCCACCCAGCCCTGCTCTGCCCTGCCCTGCCCTGCCCTGCCGGGTCCTGCCCACTGGGCTGTGGAGGCCCAGGGGAGGGCAGAAGGGCAGGGAGCCTAGGCCCACTGTGAGCAGCCCACACCTGACAACACCCCACGCACAGATCTGTGGGGCACAGGTCCCCTGCCCCCCCAGTAGTGCTCACAATGGCAGGGAGCTGGTCCCCTTCCTGCCCGAGCCCACCCCTACCCTCCACATGGTCTCTACTTCAGCTGTGCTGCCCAGGAAGGAGGGGGAGCTGGGCTCCACACACTGCTCTGCTTCAGCAGCTGCCACCTCCCATGGGCAGCAGCTGGTGTTTGGGTACTGGAGCAGGGGGCTGCAGACTTGGGTCACTGGCACCATAGTCCTGGCAGCTGGGGGCCCCTCTGGCAGGGCTGGGAAGGCAGGGGGCTGTGGGAGGGCAATGAGGGGCACCAGCCGGTCCGGGGGCCTGTGAGTGTGGAGTAAGGGGCACCGGCAGGGCTGGGAGCTGTGGCTTGGGAGTGAGGGACTTGGCCCTGTGCTCTGTGAGCTAAGGGGACAGGGGGAACTCTAATTTTCCATGATAAAAAATCTGAAATCAAACACCAAAACGTATAGGTATTTCAAATTTATTTTATTATAGTGATTGAGGCACTGCCAGGCTTCTAAATTGCTTTAAAATTGTAAATATATCAATAAGACATTGTGTTCAATTAATACCTATATATAGTGGTGTTTCATTTTATTCGCAGATTTGGGGATTTTAATCAGAGAATTTGTGATTTTTTTTTTTTTTTTTTTACCAGGGAAAACCAGGATCCCTTCAGTGATCTTGTAACACTAGCCCCCCAAATTTCGCTTCATAAGATAACTGACTCAAGACTGATATCTCATCATAAAAACCTAGCGAATACGTTATGGTAGATTTACTGCAAAAGAGCTGGTTAAGATGAAGTCATGGGGCACGTCGCCACGAATGGGAACGCGTGTTTCCCTGGAGACAAGTAGCAGCAGCAGCAGTGTGCTGCTACATGTCCCCAAGGAATGCCCATGCCACATGTGCTCTGGCGCATGGCACATTGCCCCAAGTTGGGTAGGGGAAGCTGGGGCCAGCAGCCTTACCTTACCTGGGGTCCTGCAGGAGTTTCAGCTGCGGCACTCCTCCAGCAGGGAGCCTGGCCAGGAGTCAGAGTGTGCCTCCAACTGGCCAAACTCCAGTTTCAGGCAGTGTGCGCTGCTGCCACATGCGCCACCTCACTTTTTTTAGGCACGGGTTTTTTAACCCTGGGATCTCCCAGGGTCAACCCCACCCTGCAAGTGTGGGGAATACCTATGTGTGTGGTGCGTGCAGTACTGCATACTACATGTTCGCGCTCATGTGGATGGGCCCATTGTGTGTATTCTAAGGTTTATGTCAACCAGTTATATGAGATTAAAACTACAATTTTTTTAACTAGGATTTTTACAATGAGATATCTCTTATAACATACACCTTATTGACTAGTGAAGGCTCTAAACTGCCTGATACTTAGCACATATGTAAGTTCACAAGTTCAAAGTGCTGTACACACATTAAAAAGGCAAGAGGTTTTTGTGATGTGTCTTACTGGACCAAAAGCTTACAAGCTTTTGGGAACAAATATTAACACACATAATTATCAGAACAACAGAGAAGCAGGTTACTGAGCAGTCGAGCAGATTTTCCTTTTCAACTTTTTTTGGGGGGGTTTTTTATTAATGCAGCAGTTTTTTGGGCTATTCCATCGATCAAAAAGTGTACTCTTATTTAACACATCTGGTAAAGAACATATAATTCTGTAAAACAATCTTCATTTTTATTCTACTGTCTATACCTTAGTTTAATGCATGGATGTAGCAAAAGATTACTGAGTTTGCAGGTTCATGATGAAGGACATGCAACAGACAAGAAAAACTCACCAATGGCTTCACATCTTTTGTGTGCATAAATGAGTGCCAAAAGGCAACACAATGACATATCGGTGTGACACTTTCTGGCATTCTCCAGCCACAAAATAGCATCTTGTATTTGACCTGAAAGACATGACAGGGGACTGATTCACTAATTCTTATTGTTTTAGCAACTGTTTAATTAGTTGTACACAGTAGCTGTACATTTTACTGATGTGCTGTGAGTCACAGGAGTTAGCTAGTTTCTAAATGTGTATTTGTTTGTATGTTGTTCTTGCAGAATGTTTGCCGCACCAAAGTGTTATGGAAGCACACAAATGTGATCAAGCCTGTAGTTCATCATCATTGGCTTATTTGCTTATTACAGCAGAAGAAATAAGAACTGCTCAGAGATGAGTTGTTCCCTTCCATTTCTTTCTAAAAATGGAAAAGAAGATAGCATACAGACTTATGTGTTCAGGGAGGCGTGAGCTTTTGTAAGTGACAGCCTATTGCATCATATATGCTATAACATCGGATGCAGTAGGCTGTCACCTAGAGAAAGCTCATCCCTCTCTGAATAAGCCAGCCTCTAAGAGTGCCTGTAGACAAGAGTGCCTCTAAGAGTGCAGGGACACTGCTTCAACACTGTAATTACAGCATGTTGGAACAGACTCGATTAATTGTGTCTGCTGCAGTGTGCTAATGAGCGTGCTCTTGTGTATGCTCCAGCAGTCTCCATATCTCGTGCATTCAGCATCCCTACGCTTCAAAATAGTGGTGGGAACAGTTTAACTAAAACTTTAGTTAAAGCGCCCCTACCAACATTTTGAAGTGTGGATGCATGAGACCCTGCAGGCACTTTAGAGTGGCTCCAAGAGCCACTCTAATTAAAGCACTCCTCCGCCCACATGTAAAGATGCATCCTGTTCTGTATAATTATACTGATACCATTTCTCACATGGACAAGCCCTGTGTTCACTGTGTCATCTGTCTCTTCCCTTAGCAAGTATGCAGAGGACACCAAGCTGGGGGGTGTAGTAGATATGCTAGAGGGTAGGGCTAGGATTCAGAGTGACCTAGACAAATTGGAGGATTGGGCCAAAAGAAATCTCATGAGGTTCAACAAGGACAAGTGCAAAGTCCTGCACTTAGGACAGAACAATCCCATGCACCAGTACAGGCTGGGGGTTGACTGACTGGACAGCAGCTCTGCAGAAAAGGACCTGGGCGTTACAGTGCACAATATGCTGAATATCAGCCAGCAGTGTGCCCTTGTTGCCAAGAAGGCTGATGGCATACTGGGCGGCGTTGGTAGGAGAGTTGCCAGCAGATCAAAGGAAGTGATTATTCCCCTCTACTATTCAGCACGGGTGAGGCCACATCTGGAGCACTGTGTTCAGTTTTGGGCTCCCCACTACAGAAAGGATGTGGACACATTGGAGAGTCCAGCAGAGGGCAACACAAATGGTGAGGGGGGCTGGGAGACATGACGTGTGAGGAGAGGCTGAGGGACCTGGGCTTATTTAGTCTAGTGAAGAGGAGACTGAGAGGGGATTCAATAGCAGCCTTCAACTCCCTGCAGGGGGGTTCAAAAGAGGATGGAGCTGGACTGTGCTCAGCGGTGGCAGACGACAGAGCAAAGAGCAATGGGCTCAAGTCGAAGCAAGGGAGGTTTAGGTTAGATATTAGGAGGAATTTTCTCACGAGGAGGGTGGTGAAGCACTGGGATGGGTTACCCAGAGAGGTGGTGGGATCTCCATCCTTGGAGGTTTTTGAGACCTGGGTGGACAAAGCCTTGGGTGGGACGATGTAGCTGGGGCTGGTCCTGCCTTGGGCGGGGGGCTGAACCAGATGTGACCTCCCGAGGTCCCTGCCACCCCTCCCGTTCGACAGGTCCACGAACACGTCCTCTGCCGACACCGGAAATGCAGAAATGACGCGAGACCCAAAAAACCAAAGAAGCACCGCTCCTCTTTCCCACCGCAGTCCGTCCTTCGCATTTACCTAAATGTAACGCCGCATACGCCTTGAAAAACAGCCACACGGGACCGCCGGCACGCTCGTCCAGTTCGAAACTTGCCGTACGCGTCGCACAGTTGAAATATTTTTCCTGCGCGTAAAATATCATACAAGCCTAGAGGGGAAAAGACCAAGAAAACTCATCTTATGTTATTATTATTATTATTAATTTTTAACGTGCCACCCCTGTGAGAAGACTCCTGCCCGGGGAGGAGCGCTGCTGCCGGTGGCTTTGGCAGCCCGCACGGCGCAGGAAAAGGGGCCTCTGGGGCAGGAGCGAGGGCGGTTCCCGAGGGGGACACCCCACCCCCCGGCCGTTTGCATGAGGCTGGGACACCGCCCGCCCCGCCCCGCCGCCTAGTACCAGGGCCTGGGGGTCGGGGCCCGTCATGGCGGCGGGCCCCCCCCGCCGGGGACGCGCGGCC